AATTTTCCTTAGTTAGCTGTTAGCTCGGTTGTCTGTTTTACATTACGCTTTCCGTGTATTTTTGGTATCATCTCGACTTTTGTGTATTTGGCCTGTGGTTGGTATATCTGTGTTGGAGAGAACCACCCTCTCGAATCGGGAGGAATCTGGTTTAAGCATCTTTGTGGTCAATGTGAAATCCTATTAAGGGAAATCCTTACATACATACGGCATGCATTCCGCGTAAGAGAGAACAATTAACAAACCTGAGAGATAGCTTAAATCTAAATGGCGGTCCTTCATAAAAATTCACTAGGAAATCCTCTCCGCAGGTGGCAATGCGAAAGGGTCTTGTTGGCTTAAATCCACAGCTTAAAACCCGCCTAGAATGTCCATCAAACTCGCCGACGTTCGTGCCCGAATCCCACCTAATCATGACAAATAATAGTAGGTTAATCAAGAAAGAGAGCCAAAACAATTAGAGCACTTTCAATTCCTCGCAAGGTCTTGATTTTCTACGGTATAGATGAAACCTAATATGAGATCAGACATTCATTACGTGGGCCAATTAAAGAAGAAGAAGAAGATGAAGATATATCAGACATGTAACAAAATTCCTAAGAAAATTTGGGAGATTGATGAATAAGGAGAAAATAAAGGCAACAAACTCACATAAAAGCACGCACTAACGATTTCCCCTTCCCCTCGCCACAAACCACAATCCTCATTCCATCAGGAGACCATTGCAAATCATCGATCCGCCCAGTCAAAACCTTAAACTCCTTCTTAAGCACAAAGCCACTATGAGTTCCCCAAATCCTCACAGTCCCGGACACATCAGCGGACGCGATCCACTCGCCATTCGGCGAGTACCTAGCAACCGTAGCCGGATACGCGTGCTCAGCATAAACAGAAACCTCGAGCGGATTATCGAGATTGAGGATTATGACGGATCGGCCATTTGTGTAGAGAACGGAGTTGGTTTTGGGGTGCCCGGAGATCAAAATTCCTCTGCCTCGCTCGGTAGATGGCACGCAGGCGTAAGTCTCACAGAGCTCCGCCGTCGCCATGATCAGAGCAATGAAGAAGAAGAAGAAGAATAGAAGGTGTCGAAAATGGCGAAAAGGAGAGTCAATTTGGGAACTGTGACCGTGAAGCGCACGAAGAGGGCGACAACGGTGCTGAAGGAGGACTTCTTACAGACTTGCCGGTAAAAGCCACAGTCCCCGCGTCTTTTTATTATTATTAATATTTTATTTTATTTTTACCTTTTTTCCTTTTAATTTTATTTATTAATATATAAGCCTTTACTATTTGGTCCGCGCGTTAATTTATTGGTTCCCTAAATTTAATGAAACTCACTCATCAAACTCCACAATTATTTTAATTATCGTAATTAAAATAATTACAATAATGACAAAACTCCAAACTCTTCCTTCACAAATATCCAAAATCCTAATTGCGGGCGACATGCGTAACACATGCAAGTCAGACGGGAAGTGGTGTTTCCAGTGGCAAACGAGTGAGTCAGACGGGAAGTGGTGTTTCCAGTGGCAAACGAGTGAGTCAGACGGGAAGTGGTGTTTCCAGTGACAAACGAGTGAGTAACGCGTAAAAACCTACCCTTGGAAGGGGACTAACCGCCGGAAACGACTGCTAATACTGTATACGCTGAGGAGAGGAGTAAAAGGAGGAATCCACCCGAGGAGGGGCTCGTGTCTGATTAGCTAGTCCTAAATATATGTCAATGTTATCGAAGAAACATGTATATACCACGTCCAAGAAATGATGACATTGAAAATAATAAAATTACATATAAATTATTAAATAAAATGTAAATAATAATTTAAGCCTTTGGCCGTTCATATCAATGTTGTTGTTGCTGCTTGTGTCGGAAAACAGGCCGCTCAATTTATAATTTAATTATTATAATTCAGAATAAAACCATTAAATATTCCAAATTCAAAAGACCAAATAAAAATAATTTCAGAAAAAATATAAGAAATAAATTTAAAATTTAAAATATTAAAAAAAAAAAGAAATTTAAAATATCTTATCTTATCTATATAATGCATAATGCGACTGAAACAAGAGCACATGCAAATTTTTAAAATTTACACAAAAAGCCCATTTCAAGGACCTAACCAGAAATATTACTAACCCAGAGGACTAATCAGAAAATATGCATTTTTTCCAATCAGAACATAGCAACAATCACAATACACAAAAAAGGGTCACAAATTTCTGAGTGGAATCATTCCTAACCTCATTGTGTAGAGCCCAACATGAACAGATTGAACATCAAAGCAAGCCAAACCAGGCCAAGCTTCAATGGTGCCTGAATGGGGACTGAAACAGAGCTGCCGGAGATCTCAGTCGAGTTGACAGCCAGAGGCATCCCGTCGCTGTTGAGAGTACACGACCGGGGATCCGACCCGTCTTTGCTCATCATTTTAGCCCGAAGCACCGATGTAACGGTGTGGATATATGCCGTTCGGTTCTTGGCAAGCAGCCATGTTAGACCCATCAGCTGACACTCCTTGTGGTGCATTTTGATGGTCCTGTTCTCTGGCTTGCTTGAATTCAAAGCTTCCTTGTTGTTGAGCTGCATTGTGTTAATGTACACAACCAAAAGTGTTCAAAGCCTATAAGGTTGATTTGACACTCAAGTTTCCATATACAATAATCAATGAATTCACATTAAATGATATGATCTGCAGATTTCATCAGCTAAACAGAGAATGCCAGACGTCATATTCATATTGACTTGATCTTGAAGATCAGGTGAGCATGTCATGGTCCTTCACTAGAGTCACCACCTAGGGGCCGGTTCCAGTTACACCGCTAAACGATATTGTCTTTTTTGGACTTTCTCTTTCGAACTTCTACTTGAGATGTTCAAAACACGTAGGCTAGAAAGAGGTTTCCACATCCTTGTAAAGAATGTTCCGTTTTCCTCTCCAACCGATGTAGGATCTTACAATCCACGCCCCTTTAGGGCCCAGCATCCTCCCTGACAATTAGTCTAGCACACCGCCTTGTGTCCATTCCTTTTGGGGCTTAGCCTCCATACTGACACATTTCCAGTGTCTAACTCTTATACCATTTATAATGACACAAGCCTACCACTAGCAAATATTGTCCTGTTTGGACTTTCCCTTCCGAACTTCCTCTCAAGGTAAAACCCGTCTTCTAGGGCATCCACACCCTTATAAAGGATGTTTCGTTCTCCTTTCCAACCGTTATGATTCCTTCCATTTGAAAAAATTCTAAGTAGGGTTGCTTGCATCTTCCTATAATGTTCTTCATAAATGCAGAAATGAAAGTAAAACAATGAGAAAAATGGGAAGAATTCAGTGAAAGTTGACCTGATAAAGAGTACTCAAGCATTTGGAGCAGCCACCAAGGCCTGGAAATCCATTGGCATTGCTACTACTCAAGCAATTTCTCTCCAATCTCTTCACATTTCCATCTCCTTCAAGAATACCATCATGGGTCAGTGAAAACGCCTCAGGGCAGCTCAGAGGATGCAATCTGATCCCACAATAGCAATAAACCACATCACAAGTTTCATTAGGCTTCATTAGCTCAATACCCTTTTGATTCAAAGCCTGATCCAAGTTACTGACGCAAGTTTCGGAGTCATCGGGGAGCAGGGGCAGGTCATACGACGGCGCTGTGTGGCCTGGAGCGGCGCTGACTCGAACGGGTCTCCGCAATGCGGTGGCAGAGTAAGCAGCGTAGAGCCAAGCGGCCAAGACGGGGCAGCACCGGCTGCGGTGGAGATTCCCGGAGACACCCCCTTTTGAAGGACCGCAAGCTGTCTTAATCCCATGGAAGAGGTCGTCGGGGAGGTCCAGGCGGCAGCCCTGAACGTCGGACTGTTCTGGGAATGCCGGAATAGTCGCCGGCGACGAGTGGTTCACCTGAAATGGGCGGATTGTTAGTGGGTCTGGATGGGAGAGAGAGAAGAAAGAAGGAAAGAGAGAGAAACAAAGAGAGAAGAGAAGAAAGATTCGTGGGAGTGAAGACATTGGTGAAGAGAATGTGATTTAGGGAAAGAAATTGAAGAATGAGTAAAGTTTGGTAATGGCGGAGGAAGGGGAAAAAATGGAAGCAAAGGAGGAGGAAGAAGAAAAAGAACAATGGGCATTTTGCAAAAATACCCTCCAAATATTTTGATTTTCGAGAAAAGACCCCTTTAAAATCATTGTGTTTCCTTTTTGGACCCTTTGAAGTTTTTCTTGGCATGTGAAAAGACCAATTTACCCTTTCTTATTTAAATTTGGACCTAGGTCGATAATTTTAAGAAAGCAAACGTCGATTGCACACTATTAGAGCTCCGTATCGTGAGAACTCACGTGGGTTGGAGAGGAGAATGAGACATTGCTTATAAGGGTATAGAAACTTCTCCCTGACAGACATGTTTTAAAACTATGGGCTGATGGTGATACATAACGGGCCAAAACGGTTAATATCTAGTAACAGTGGATTTGAGTTGTTACAAATGGTATGTATCAAAGCCAGACATCGGGTGAAGTGTCAACGAGGACGCTGACTCCAAAGGGGTGGATTGTGAGATCCCACGTCGGTTTGGAGAGGCAATCAAGTATTTGTTATAAGAATGTGGAAATCTCTTCCTAATAGACGCGTTTTAAATCTGTGAGACTTGACGATGATACGTAACAAACTAACAGCGGACAATATCTGCTAGCGGTTGACTTAGCTACTACAAACGGTATCAAAGCCAAACACTAAGCATTGTACCAACAAGGACGCTGACCTCAAAGCGAGGTGGACTGTGAGATCCCACATCGATTATAGACATAACTAAACATTTTTTTATAGAAGTGTGAAAACCTCTTCATAACAGAAACGTTTTAACATAATGATTTTGCTTCGGTTTCTGTACTCATTCCGACCTATGCCACAAAATCTCATATTTTTAATGTTTTGATTATAAGGAAAAAAAAGGGTACTTTTTTAATTTTTAATATATATTATATTCTGTAATTTGTAGATCCACTTGGTAATATTTATTAAAAATGTATTTGTTGAGTTGTAATAAAAAGTTCACTAAACATATGATAGAGCTCAAGTCTTTGACATGGTTCTGCCCGCCGCCGCCCAAGAGTACAATTCCGGCGGAAGTGCGCTGTTGGTGATCAAATTCTGCGGCACGCCATACAGATCCGACACATCCACGTGGTGGTGGCTCCGTCCATGTTGGCCGTAGTGTTGGCTCTGTATAGCGCTTGCCACTTCTTCGTCGTCCGACGGCAGGCGGTCAAATGTTGCGTTCATGAACGTCGCCGCCATGATCACGACTGGACCGGAAGCAATGAGCGCACCCACCACAACTCCACCGACCACCTGCCCTTGTGCGCCGGCCAAGTAAATCGTCAGTCCAGTGATCCCGGACGGCGCTGGTGGTGGAAGAATCGACCCCAACATTGAAAGGATCTCGAAACTAATAAAAAAACGATCATGGTCACTTGTGTTTCTGGTTCTTAACATGGTATCAGAGCATTATTCTTAACAGAAATTTACCGTCCATGAAGAGTAACAATGGCGCCAGAGGAGGCAGCTTGGCGGAGCGTGACATTAGTGACGCACCCACTCCCACTAAGAATGCAGAAGCCACGCTGCTTCCTTCGAGCAAAGTTCGAGAGGCTCTCATTGACATCGCACCCAGAACTAACCTCAATCGCATGGGCTCGAAGCGCATTGGCGCTATCTCGAGTAACAATAATTGGGGGTTTAGGCTTATTTTTGGACCCGGCAGGGCGGCCCCGCGGGCGGCGGAGAGCATGATCGGTGTCCGGCGCCGCCGAGATGGGCGGCACAGCCTTGGGAGAGACAAGAGAAGAGGGATCAAAGGAGGCAGGTCTTTGTTGGTGATTGGTGGCGTTGCCACATTTTTCAGGCTCGTGGTCTTGATCGCCGCCAGTCATTTGCGTGAAGCTTATAAGAAAAACGTAGAAGAAAAAGTGAGGTTAAGTAGAGAATTAGAAGAAGAAATGGTTTAAGGTTAGGAGGAGATTAAGTAAAACCAAACATAAAAAACAATGGTAAGCTGTCTTAAGTATGTTTTGCTTTCCACTGCCTACCTCCCAACTGACTTGGTTCTTCATGTTAATTGTCTTAGCTCAAAACATAATCATTTTCTAATGAACCATTATTCTAATCTAAGCTCTACAAACATATGCAGTGGACAAGCACGCGGGAATTACCGTTTCGATCGGAAAAAAACATTGACCTTGCCCTGTCGGAGTAGTGTCAACCATGATATCTGGTTATTTGAGTATGAACAAGTTGTTTAGGATTGTTAGGAGGGAGTCCCACATTGGCTAATTTAAGGAATGATCATAGATTTATAAGAATAAATCTCCTTTGGTACGAGGCATTCTAGAGAAGCCAAAGCAAAACCATGAGAGCTTATGCTCAAAGTGGACAAAATATCATATCATTGTGGAGAGTCATAATTCCTAACATAGTATTAGAGTCATGCCCTTAACTTAGTTATATCAATAGAATCCTCAAATGTCGAACAAAGGATTATGAGCCTCGAAGGTGTAGTAAAAAAGTGACTAAAGTGTCGAACAAAGGGTGTACTTTGTTCGAAAGCTTCAGAGGAGTCGAGTCTCGATTAAGGGGAGGTAGTTCGAGAGCTCCAATAAGAAAATGTCACACAGAGATTTGGTATCTTAGAATGTGATGCTCAGTAATTTGTTGGTTCATATTAATAACATACATAACCAGAAAACTTCTCAATATTCATCATCAATGGAGTTACAAGCCTGTGAATAGTAGTGATCTAAGCCAAACAAGGATTTGTGATATATAAATCCAATGCCTGGTGGTGTTCATGCTACACGAGGTAACAACCTGAAATTGGCCCTTCAAAATACAAATAAATAAAAACTACATGGAACCATGTTTTTCTTTTTCTCCATAATACAAAAATTGTAATGAAACAATGGGAGGAAAGCCTACTGTAAGTTAGCATCACCTACCTGACTTGGGAGACTTTGCTACACACTCTGCCTTGTAGCCAACATGTCCTTTTCGGAAAATATATGCAAAACGAGCAGCCCCGTCGTCGCTTTGTGCCACGCTTTCAAGGGATCTTACAAGGTAAGTATGAAATATCAAGCATGCAATGCTGAAACCTTTTGAGACAATCCATCAACTGCCTCGTCGTTCGTCTCTGTAATCGGTTCCTCCTGCCATTCATTGAGAACAAACATCAAAATACTAGAGATATGCAAGACAACTTCTTTGGTATATATATTTAGAGAATCCCACATGGTTTTCTATTGTTCTTTGGTTAACTTTTTACCTCTAGGTCGTTTCTTGGTTTAACAACTATACATTTAGAGGCACTAATGCTGGCACTCTTCAACAAGCTACGAGCACTGTAATTTGCCTTGTTTGGTCCATTTTGTTCGTAACTGTTTGCATTTTCCGAACTATCCGCTGTCGACCTTGGGGGACTCTGAAGAGATGTAGCAACATGTGCACCATTTCTTCCTTCTAAATCATTGTGTTGTTCGACCTCGTCTTTTGGTGCACAAACCCTTTCTCTGAACAAATGTAATACATGAAACAGAATCACAGAATGAAAAAGATAGTAACATGGATACAATCCTATCTTATTATTCACTAAATTTTTCGAGGAGGGACAGCTTTATTTGTGCACTGGAGTCATTCGGACTATGAGTGTCGGTTGGGGCAGAGTCAAGGGACAAAGTTTTACATTCAGTCATATCATCAGCTGTGAGATTATGATGATTATGTTGTTTCTTTTTCCAAAGAAGAAGATGATAAAGATTTCTCGATCTTACCTGGGCAATGAAGCATGCTTTCTTTGAAGCGGAGTACTTCTTTCGCCCTTTCCATAATGTTCCTCTAGATGTGCAAACTGGCGTTTGAAGCGATCGACACCGCTGAGTATATTAAGGGGAAAAAATGTTAAGTCTTCACACCTATTTCAACCTATGAATCCAAAAACTCATTCCATGCATTAAAGTAACAAGATAGTATGGTATAACACACACACACATATATATTTCTTAAAAACCTTTGAATTTTCCCAAAAGGTTAACAAGGGTAATGGATTTTCACCTTGGGTACATGAAACTAGTTTGTTCTCCACTGCGGAGATATTCCTGTAGCATTTGAGGATGATACTCCAAGATCTGTTTACGTCAAACAAAAAGATTAATGAAGTTATAATGATTGCTAGTTGAAGCATCAAGCATCCAAATTTAGGGCAAACCTCTCGATAAATTAATTCTCTAACATCCTCTTTTGTCAACTTTCTTCTCTCAAATTCAAACTCGAGTTTTGAAATTGGTTGTGTTGATGGTTCGCGATCCACGTTGGCCAAACCATGAAAATACGGATCAGCTAATGCCTGGATACATCACCATAGAATATTATAGAAAACGGGTCACTTCATCCAAATATCTATAGAATAGACCTGGCATTCATAACTTCATTTACCTCTTCAGCTGTGGGACGGTCTTTGGGATCAAATGCAAGGAGACGTTTAAGCAAGCGAAGAGCCAAGGGATCGGCATTGGGGAACTTTTGTGTGAGAGAAACAGGCTGCTTTCTCCTCATATTACTAATGTATCTTCTTGCCTTTTCATTTCGAATCTGCAAATATAATGGAAAGGTTGCCATGAATAGACATTGTCAAACGGATATCAAAAAAATTTGAACTCTTGATGTCTCAAATATTTGGGGAACTCCTGAGCTGATTGCTTTGATCACTAGAGTTCAAGGTAGAGAAGTTGGAAAATTAAAGAACCTTCACAAAGAAAGCAGATAATCAACATATATGAACATTGGGATCTTATAACAAACCTTGGCAATGGACTCGGCAGAAGGCGTGCCAAGCACATCAACCATCAGATCCAGTTGGTGCACCACATTTTTCCCAGGGAACAGTGGCTTCCCAGTGAGCATTTCCGCAAATATGCATCCAATGCTCCACATATCAATTGCAGGAGTGTACTGAAAAAAGAACATACGTATCATATAACAAAACCCGCTCGACCACAAGAATAGAGTAGTCGAAGTGCAAAGCAACTTACTTTCGAGAAAAAAGAACCACAAAGTTCAGGAGCACGATACCACCGAGTTGCAACATAGTCCTTCGAAAGGACGAATAATAATCAGCAAAAGCAAAACGAGAGAGAACTTAAAAGAAATTAGTTTCCACGATCAATCTTACAGTCCAGAAAATAGCAGATGGAGCATCATTAAACGAAACACGAGCAAGTCCAAAATCACATATTTTCAGTTTGCAGTCAGCATTAGCTAAAATGTTTTTGGGCTTTAAATCACGATGAAACACATTTGCTGGAAAAAGAAAAAGAAAAAGAAAAAGAAAGTTCATCAGTAAATTTGAAAAGAAACTTCCAAAGCAAATACTTGGAGACCACCAACCTGTATGTATATATTTCAGACCACGAAGAAGCTGGTACAAGAAAAACTGATGGTGCTCAGGAGAGAGATCATCGTTGGCCTTAATTACTTGGTGAAGATCAGATTCCATCAATTCAAAAACAACATAAATATCTCTGAATTCTCTCCGTGAAGGAGGAAGCATAATGTGCTTTATTTCTACTATATCAGGATGACGGAGCAACCGCAGGAGTTTAATTTCTCTTAAAATTCTTGTGGCATCAGAAACATGCTCAAAAACGTCATTAATTTTCTTAATTGCGACCTTCTCATCAGTATGAGTATCAATGGCCGAACCGACTACCCCATAGCTTCCTTTACCGATTATTTCTTGAACCTGATATCGGCTGGCCTCTCCATACTCTGTGAAAAACTCTGTTTCCAACCCACCCTATACAACATTCAAACAACATTATAACATGAGATCAAAAGATTTTACATGAAATTACGATTTGGAAGTTATTGATTCATACATGAGCTTTTGTTGTTGAAAATTTACTCTGATTGTAACAGTACTTGATTCACATATTTTACTTGTCATGTATGAAAATGTTTTGTCTTATAACTGATTTTTGAAGCAAAATATCTATGTCAGTGGTAACTGCTATGAATTGAGTCATCGATGAACGGATGTTACACATACGAAATGCTTATATATGTGATAAAGATGCTATAAGTCTCACAATTGCCAAGGGCCTAAATATATTAACAATCCCACAGTTCTTTATATAAGAATCAAGAATCCCATAGTTGAAGACACAATTTTCCACACCAAGAGGCTAATTTCTTCTTCACTGTCAATAAGTTCAGGAAATTTTTTTGAAGAACTCACTTAAAGGCTGAAACTCTTGGAATTAAAACATGAAAATTCCCAAGTTAACTTAACAAGATCATTAACTAATTACTTACCAATTTAACATACAACAGTTCATCACATATATGATACAACTCAACGAAGAGAGTAGTATAGAAAATCATTGTTATGCTGGTAATTGACTGAGGAAGACGACACGGGCAGGGGAGCGTTTGACTCGAACAATGCTTATCTCTTTGAAACAGAAAGAAACAAGAGTCCAGGACAGCTCAGTTGAGAACATTGCAAGCACAAGACAACAGTGATGGGGACTTCAAATAATTCCAAAAACCCAGTTTCTGTAAAACAGTAGATTTAAAACGTTTCGGTGGCGAGAAGTGGGACAATTTTTTTATTGGACAGAGTTCTGAACTTTTCAAAAGCTAAAGAATCGTCTTCCTAAATTGAATACTTCCACAATTTCAACTGTGGCCAATCAAGGCGATGGGATAGCAAAGCCACGGTATCTTCCAACAAAACCCTATGTCAAGAAAGTGAAAGAAAAGTTTACTGGAAGATAAAGTTTCAAACAGCAATCCAGAAGTTTACCGCTCAATCTTTTCCTCGATCATCAAACGAACATACCAGCAAAACGAAAGGATCAAACAAGAAGAAGAACAGGGAATATCAAAATCATCCGTAAACTAAAGCAATTTTAATAAGAAAAGAACATACGAAGAGCTAGACAGAAACGCTCTCTCGGATCCATAGGATGAGAAAAGCAAAACGAAATGAAACACAGATCTCCAGATCAATAAAAAAAGAAGAAACAGCAAGAAATACCTTCTTGTGGGAGTCCATTAAAGCAGGAGGAGGAGGAGGAGGAGGAAGCGGAGCTCTGAAGTGATTGGTCCGCTTAGGAACTTTGATGAGCTTCAAGGCAGAGTAATCAAGGTCGTCGTCGTAGTCGTGCTCCTCCTCAGGTAATCGCTCAAGAATCCCTTCTCCTCCAAGTTGGGTTTGTTTCCGTTTGGGAGCAATAGTCGATTGGGCGCGCAAATCGCTACTCACCAATTGGTCACCATTAACAACATGATCGAGCTTATCAAGATAAGGATAACCGAGATTAGAATCAGAAGTAGGATCAGAAGAAGAAGAAGAAGAAGACGAAGTGCGACGTTGGAACCAGCGACGAACACCGTCCA